AGCTTTAGTGATCTGGTGTGGAATCCCAACCCAGCCAATTGACATCTACAGCATATATACATAATGTAAAAGCTGCTTCTACTTTTTCCATTGCAGAATAGTCTGGTGGAAGATGAGTAGATTTGATTCCTTTTTTTTTCTTTCAATTACTGAAAGAAACACAGTGGTAGAAAGTAGGGCTGTTACTGATTAAAATTTTCGTGTTCGATTAATCAAATTTTTTTTTAATCGATTAAATCGATTAGTTTCGATTAATTATAACGCACATACAGATCCAACTACATATACCTATACACATACAGCACAGCAATGAAGTAATAAAATGAACTAGTATCACACTAATCCAGCACGTTATTAATCTCACGTGCCCCACTCAATATGGCGGCCGCGTGAGTGGGGCAACTCAGAATAATAACGTGCTGGATTAGTGTGATCCTAGTTCATTTTATAACTTCATTGCTGTGCTGTATGTGTATAGGCCAATGCCTTGGCTGGCACTCGTGCAGATAGTTTTAAAAAAAAATGTAATTGATCAAAAAAATTTTAATCGATCAAAAAGATTAACAATTAATCGAGAAATTAATCGTTAATTTGCACAGCCCTAGTAGAAAGTTGCATGTTGACATAAGCTCGCAGTACTACCCTGTACCGAGACATTGCAGATGATTAATCCTTTAGTACTTCATTGATGGGTAATGTTTGATCACATAAACATGTTACCTTTTTTTTTGAATAGCTACATGCATGGAAGCTGTTTTCTTAGTGAAATGTCCTTTATCAATAATTTGATTCTTATAGGTACCAGTTTTGACAGCTCATGGTAAGATGGCCTACCTGCCCCACCTAGTGGTCTTTGTGTAGTACTGCAGTGAAGACAGTACGGGTGCCTACAATGCAATCACACCATACCTTCTGAAGACAAGTTAGTATTTTGGGAAAAACACAATATATATTATTCATTTTCTTTCTGCCTATATTTCCCCTTTCCAGCAATATAATAGAACGCTTAGTGCACTAAGCTAACAATTTCGCCTATTACACCCCTTTTATTTTGAGGCATACAATTCATATGTGACTGTGTATTTTCATTGTACTCCTCTCTATTCAACATCATTTGCATCATTAAAAGTTCTGTAGAGGATAATACACTGTATACAGTAGTTTGTGAGCATAGCAGAAGTCATCGAGTAGCTCCTCATTCACACTGTAATCGGCCGGCACGTACAGCCCCTTGCTACGTGCACGGCCGTATCGGGCAGCTCCCTGGAAGGACAGGTGCTTCTCGCTGCCCCTGTCCTTCTCTATGGGACTACGCAGCTGTACATCCCCCTACGCTCACCCGCCCTGCACGTCGGTGCGTGTGAGCGTACTTGTGCGCTGACCAGATGAATCCTGTCTGCGTCCGAGCCGGAAAACACGCACCCCTACGGACCTGCACTTGAGGTGAGTGTAGGGGGGGTATGGCCGCGTAGTGCCATAGAGAAGGACTGGGGCAGCATACTAATCACATGCAGCACCTGTCCTTCCCGGGAGCTGCCTGATACGGCCCTGCACGCAGCACGGAGCTGTACGTGCGGACCGATTACAGTGTGAATGAGGGCTTAAAGTGACATTAAACCCTCAGATTTTTTAACATAAACCAATACTGTAATGTGCGCCTTACTGTAATCCATGGTTGTCTCCCTTCTCTTTGCTGCTCTTCCTTTTAAATCCTCATGTCTTCTCATGCTTGGGGAGAACTTCCCTTTGCAGCTCAGGGCCTCTTCCTGTAGTGCTGGCTCAGATTACAAGCCTATACAAACGGATACACAGACACCATGTATCCATTCCAGAGACAAGGCAGTCTGCTGCAAAACAGAAGTTCTGCAGAGCATGGGAAGAGATACAGATTTAAAAGGAAGAGCAGCAAAGAGAAGGAAAACTACCATGGATTACCGTAAGGCGCACATTACAGTATTGTTTTATGTTAAAAAATCTGAGGGTTTAATGTCACTTCAAGGTGACATCTGTGTCTCCTATAGAATACTATAAGCGGTATCTTTTGTACAGTTTATAGACATGTTTAGCTGTTACAAATCCCCTGAGGCATTGCAAGATTCTCACAGCCACAGGCATGACTCCCCAAAACAGATACATAATGGGATTTGTAGTTTCACCCCAGCTGGAATGCCAGAGTTGCCCACCCCTGCCATGGAGCCTGTACTGAACTAAGTCGCTAGTTGCAACCCCATATGTCTCATAGGGTCCCTTAAAAGCTGAGAATTACTCAAAGTCTACCCTTGCAGTGGGCCCTTTCAACGATTGAATGCTCAAAAAGGCTAGACCAGGGGGTAGACAAACTTCAGCTGTGGTGAAACTACAAATCCCATGGGGCTCTGACACTCGCAGGCTTGATGGGGTTTGTAGTTTCACCACGGCAGGAGGGCTGAGGCTTGGATATTGCTGGTCTAGGGCAGAGGTGGGCAACTCCGACCCTCTAGCTCAGGAGTAGGCAAACTACAAATCCCATGAGGCATTGCAAGATTCTCACAGCCACAGACATCTCTCCCGTAGAGAGAGAAAGAGAGGCATCATGGGATTTGTAGTTTCACCACAGCTGGAGGGCCAGAGTATGGCTACCCCTACTCTAGCTGTTGTGCTTTAACTACACATCCCAACATGTCTCTGAGAATCATGCCTGTAACTGTCAGACTTGCAATGCCTTATGGGACTTGTAGCTCCACAACAGCTGGAGAGCCAGAGTTGCCCACCCCTGGTCTGGGGATAGGGGTAGAGGAATAAGCTGTAGTAGCGTCACAAGGGGGGGTGCGGCCCGCACCTGGGTGCCATCAGAATGACTGACAGTCATTTTGGTGTCACCCCCTATGAAAAGTCGGGCACTCGGTCACGGACTGAGAGCCCAACAGTGTTAGGAGGGGAGAGGTATGCCGCCGGGTGAACGTCCCCTCCTCTCTCGTCCAGCACCAAGATGGCCGTCGGCAAGGGTCAATAAGACGACCGTGCATGCACGATGAAGTCATTGCGCACATGCGCGACAACATCACGGCGGGGTGTCACCTGGTCTCCGCTCCGGGTGTCACCCAGCCTCGGGACGCTCCTGATAAGCTGTAATACTTGCCCTATTCCTCACCCGCTCCAACAGGCTTGTGGTGCTCACCTTTTCTATCTGCCATTCCGTGCAGTGGTCAGTCCCTCGTCGCTCCTCACATACAGTGCAGAACTCTTGGCTCTGCGTTGTTTGATGACATCAGCCAGCCGGATCTAGGGAGCCTACAGGAGCGAGGGACAAAGTCATTATCGCACCTTATTCCTCTACTCCTAGACTTGGTGAGCATTTCGCCCCTGAAGTGCAGCTGTTCCCCACTGCAAGGGCAGTTTCTGTGTAATTCCAGGAGCTCATTGGAAGTGGTAGTACGCAGCAGGATGGAGATGATGGGGACAAGAACTTCTCGTGCCACGCTTTCGGAACATGGCAGAGCGCCTGGATATCAGTGACGGGGATCTGAGAATGTTCCCAGGGGACAGGGTGCCAGGCGTCATGTGACAGTTCTATTTGAAGGCTCAGTCCTTCACCTTTCCCCTAGTTACACAATCCAGTCGAGCCGGTTGCGTCATAGTCAGGGTGGGGCCCTGTCCTTGGCTTCCAGCCTGCCTCAGTCATCTGTTAGGTAATTGACAGAAGAGGACACTGAGGCTAAATTTATACATACACACCAGTGTCCTGGAGGCCTAAATGTGGAGGCCCATAAAGTCTATTACCATACACCAGCTTGTGAAGTGTATTTGGTTTCCTGAAACGTTTTCCTACACCAGAGGTGCGTTCAGTTCCGTAGCTGAGCAGCTGTTCTGCAGCACTTCAGTTTGCTGCACAGCGCTAAGCAAAATGGCGGAGGGTAACATTTTTGACTAATAAATACAATTTTCCAAAGAATATTTGGTGTGCTCGTCCACCAAAACACTAAATTGTAGGTGAATTGATTTCCTCCATCGGGGTCCAGGCACCTTTCTCCAGCACTGCCAGGTGTGCCCACAGTTAAAATGGCCGCTGGTGCTTTGTCCCCACCTTCTCCAACACACCGCTCTGCATCCACATTCTCTTCTGCTTCCAGTGCTAAAGTAGCAGTGCTGAGCGCTGACTTGCAGCACAGAGTTCAGCGTCAGTTTGCTAAATCAGCACTCGCATCGGCTGAGCGACTGAACACACCCCTGGAGTAGGCAAACGCTGGCCCTCCAGCTGTGGAACTACAAATCCCATGAGGCATTGCAAGACTTTGCCAGCCACAGACATGATTCCAAGAGCAGATGCATGATGGCATTTGTAGTTTCGCCACAGCTACAGGGCCGGAGTTGAGATTATTTTATATACAGGAGCACTTGATTGAAGGAATGACAGTCCATTAAAGGAAATGTGCTACGTTTAATATGTGAGCTGCCATTGTTGAGCTGTCTGAAAATATTATATGCCATTCATAAAAGTGTGTGTGTGTGTGTGTGTGTGTGTGTGTGTGTGTGTGTGTGTGTGTTTTAAAATCCCAGACAGAAGCACAGGGAAGGTTAGAACTCCAGACAGTTCTGTCCTAGTGACATATGACCCTTTTCATTTCCTGTCCTGGTGTCATAGTGACAGGAAGTGAGAGACAATCTCCCCAATGGGGTCACAGACAGCAAAAAAAAATGACTGCTGTTAGGCTTTAAAGAGGGACTGATGTATAGGGAAGATACATTGGCTCATACACAGAGATGTATGACATGGGTGGTGAGCTGTGCAAACCAGGCACCTCTCCAGGGTAACTGAGGACCGTTTCTGGAAATCCGAGTCACCTGGTACAGACAGGGACCGAACTCCTAGTTACCAAGTCGCTCCATAGTCCATACGTCTGTACAATAACATGAAGGTCATGTCTTGTCCCTTTAACAATGCCGGGTGCCGGGGGTGTGGCCCCGTGACGTTCATGCATTGACGCTGCCACCGCTGATTGGCCGTTCAGGTTTTTCAGCAGCTCCGGTTGAGCGCGCGCCTTTGTCATTTGGTGCCTGGCGGGCGGAGAGGACGGAAGTGCGGAGATATGAAGATCTGGACCTCTGAGCACGTTTTCGAGTGAGTCCCGGGAGAGAAGGAGGGGAGCTCAGTGTCCGGGGTGGGGGGAAGTGAGGGCGCCATGGAACCTTCTAGAATGTTCAGTCTCTGGCTTGAAGCACAAGTCCGTCGGTGGTGTGCGGGCCCCGGGCAGTACGTGTAGATGGCCCAGGCTGACAGGACATACTGGGAATCGTTCATCCACTGGGTGTAGGGCTGTTCTAGGGACGTATTAGGTAATGAGCTTGTCCTTTGATTGCAAGGGAACTACAAGTCCCAGTATGCCTGTGCGGTCACGGGGGGGGATACAAGTCCCAGCATGTTTATATGTATGTTTGGGGGGGGATGGGTG